ATGAATGAATAACTTTTCATATTCTGATTGTGATTTCTCAATTTTTTTTCTGCTATTAAGTGTGATTCTTGAACTTCTTTCGCTAGTAATTGACTCTTGATTCACTCTTATAGTCTTATTCTCGTTCCATCATTTCATATTCTTTCTGCTATTTCATTTACTTTTCATATGCTTTTAAATATTGTTATTTCAAAGACAATGATTATCATCTTAAGAGTTTAAAGCAGGTTAAATGTATAAAAGACAATGTTTTTTAACATTGCTTTTTCTATTATACCTTATTCAATGTTATATTTTTATTTTTATAAAGCCGCTTGTTTGATTTTCATGTTTGTTAATTTATGCATTTTTATAAAGTATGTTTTATTGGTTGTAATGGACTCATATTTGATTCACTATTTTGTCTTTTTATTTGCATGAAATTTATTTAAAACATATATTTACTATTATAAATTAATATTTTATATATTTATAATGCGGCACTCTAGCAGTGCTCTTGCTCTAAGATTTTTTTGAGATATGCCGCTCTCATTCCCGCTTTATATGACTTAGCTTTGGTGGAGAGATAATAATAAATAAATAAATAAAAAGTTGGCCACACAATGATATACACATTGGTGTCGTATTTTTGTAGGTTTTTTACTAGTAGGGGGAAATAGCACTACTTTATATATTTTCCTCTCTAATTAGAGAAACTAAATTTTTTATTTTCTTTCTATATCAATAAATTACGGTAGTGAAAAAAAAAAATAATGATAATATATTAATAGCAGTATTAAAGAAAACACTAAGAAAAATAATTGATTTACAAAAGAAATCTGAAATTTCTTAGAATAATAGCATTTTTTGTCATCTCATTACATCAATAAATTTTTGTTATTACAGTAGAACTAGAAAAAAGATATGGGTTTGCAACTGGTTAAAATCTGGAATAAAATAAAACAAAATTAACAAGATTGATGAGACAATTTGTGACAAAGGGGTTAGGTGCAAATCATAGGTTACCTTAAGTTGATCAAGTGGATAAAAGAATAGAGATTTTATTTTTAATTTTTTATTATTTTTTAGTCTATATTTTGTATGTCAATAGTGTAATTTTTAATTTTTTTTTTTCCCCACACTAAACAAATAAGCAATGTCAACTTTAGTATCAAGTCATTGATACAATTTTCTAACAATAATAAAAAAATTTAAAGAAACAAAATTCGAATTAGTGGTGAGATGTGATTTTGAGATGTGAAACAATTTCTATTTTTATTTGTTTGGTACTTGCCTTTTATTGTTGTAATTAGTGGTATTGGTAAATATTAAATTTAGAACCTAGAAATGCTGATAGTGGTTTTGTAAAAAAATTATATAGGTAGGTTTGGAATGTGATCAATATAGAAAGTGTGGAAGAATTTTCTTGCTTCACGGGGAGCAAGAAATCATTACTCATATACTTAAATACTTGCCTACTCACAGTGGGTAACTAATTCCTTAATGTGGTCTAATCTTAAATGCACAAATAGTTTATAATTACAAAATCTGAAAAATGATAAATTCAGCCACAACTTTAAAATCTTACAACCTCAGTTGCAGCTAAGAAATCTGCTAGGACTTATCCTTTAACTACTTTTCATGGCACATAAACAATTTTATACTCATTGAATAAAATTGACTACCTCGCTAAGCGTAAAAATTTGATCTCCAGCACGCGTGGAGAAGGAAAAAAAAAGAAAAAAAAAAAAAATCTACAAAAATGTCATCATTGACCCTAACTAAGCTTGTGAGGGTATTGAAAAATGCTAAGTCATTGTGTCATAACTTTTGCATCGGGTGTGCGCATTCCGTTCTTCTTCTTTTATGGGGTTTCGAAAAATTTACTTCTAAATAACTTCCATAACGTTATTTCAAAGTCCCAAACAAAAATTTTTAGCCAAAAAATGATATGGAGCTAATGGGTTTGTATTTCATGGCATGGTGGCCTTGAAGAGCACATCTTGGACACCGATTCTTCATCATTTGAAATAGATCCTTTTAAGGCATCCGAAAATGGAGTTTTTGGTGCCAAAGATATCCATTCATTAGGGTCATCAAATCAAATCAACTGAGTCAAGGTCAAGGTCAATCAGGGGGTGACTGAGTTTATTCCAAAAAAAAATTTTATTATTTTTATTTATCAGTTTTCTAATTTTGTAATTACAAATTATTCGTAATTACCAATGATTAGACCACATCAGTAGTTAGTAGGGATGACCTACTCATTGGTAAATAGGCAAGTCTCGTCCTCTATATATATATATTCTTTTTTGCACCCTATATTTTTTAATTACTCTATATATGTTGGCTATATCTTTAAAATTTAACCTTTATTAGAAAATAACAAATTAAAATACAAATAAATAGCCACATAATTTAAGATAAAATCACAAATAAAAATTATAGTATTTTCCGAGATATGACGAATACAACCTAAAAAGTTATTTAATCACAATGTCAATTTAAGTAATGCAAATTTGAATTCAGTCTACTTTCATCCGCTTACAAAAATAGCAATTATCTCTTGAAAGGAGTGTATGAATACTTTTTAAAATAAGTGTTATTCAAGGAATTATTTCATTTTTTTAAATAAAAGAGCAAGTGAAATGGCAAGTGTGGAGTGTGAATATTACTTCTGTTATGAGTAATACAAATTTAAATATGCCCTTATAAACTCAATTATAATCAAAGTAAATTCCAATCCACAAAAATTATGTCATTGTAAGATTTGATTTTGTATTTATTAATAGAATATGCATTTTTTATTTTTGGTGAGAAATATTCATCTTTTATCTTTATGAGAGTAATTCTGTTTTAGAGTATTTAATACAACTCAACTCGGCTACAGTTAGTTGTTTAGGGTTGATTTAAATTCTCGGTTTAAAATATGAATCTCCAATGTATATATGACTAAATTAAAAGCTAGATCTGGCTAAAATGGTCACCGAATTCATAACGATTATTCTCCCTTGAGCAAAATTCTAAATCAAGAAAAATTACAAGGCACCAAATCAAAATTACTTACTTATCCTCCATTTACAATTTTTTTTCTTGCTACAATGCTTGCATGTAAATCTTATTTTATTTATTGTCAATTGAAAATATATATATATATATATATATATATATATTTTACGGTATCTAAAAGTCAATCCACCTTGTTAGTTACTTTAGATTCTTGATTGATTTGCAAATTTTGAATGTATACAACTGTTCGGATAACACATGCATTATTTAGGTCCGGATCCTACCTTCAATGAGACTCAAACGAGTGACTCAAAGACCTTTCTAGTTCGTGTAACACATGCATCATTTAGATTCCGATCCTACCTTCAATGAGACTCAAACGAGTGACTCAAAGACCTTACCAATTCACGTAACACATGCATCATTTAGGTTCCGATCCTACCTTCAATGAGACTCAAATGAGTGACCCATATACCTTACCAGTTTGTGTAACACATGCATCATTTAGGTCCAAATCCTACCTTCAATGAGACTCAATCGGGTGACCCAAATGACCTTACTAGTAAATCTGTTTGTGTGAAAGAAAATATTTTATGTTGGGGGTGTTATATAAAGGTTTTGATTCAGATTACATTATCAAACGGCAAATAAGAATATGATATTATCAAGTAAGAATATGATATTATTAGGTAAGAATTGTTGTGGAATTGGATTAATAAAAATATAAATTGAATTTTTTTTATTACTACTAAATACAAATTAATTAAAAACCCTAAATCACTCCATCTTGTCCCCTCCTACAAAAAGAAAGCTAATAAGTTCATAATATTTCCCCGTCACACAAAAAAATGTCTACTTTTTTATTTTTGATTGTTCCAAAATAATTGTTCCATATCAAAATCTAGTGTACTATTTTTTTAATATTTTTAATTTATCTCTCTTTTTTTTATTTATAGAAGTTATAAAAATATGTGAACTCACATAAAAAGGTATATTTAAAATTCATTCACTACCATTGTAATAAAAATATATAAAAAAATTACCCTCTTCAAAGTTAAGTTCCTGCAGATGCCTCGATATCCAGTGGTTAGTGCCTCCAGTGGATTTTGGGAGTGTCAGGCTTCGACTCTTTGCACCTACTAATCTAATTTCTAACCCTTCTTGCCTTGTAAAATAAAAAATAAAAAATAAATAAAAATAAGACGTTAAGTTCTTAACATGGTTCGGTGTCTAACGGATTCAGACAAATATCGGTGTAAATAGGCAAAACGATATTAGACCTTTAAAAAAGAGTTACTAACCGACATGGACGGATCTCGAAACTCATGTGAGGGGGATAATATTAAATTTTTTTAATAATTTCAGAGGGCAAAGGAAGAGAAAGAAGAAACCAGGAGAGAGAAATCGAAGAAACAGGTCGAGAACCGCAACTTTTAAGCTTTCCACTTTTTACCTTTAAATTCAAAAGAGAAATCGATAATTAAGGTCGGAAGAATTATTATTTTTCTTCCTCCTAAAATGAGAATTTGTTTGTTGAACCTAAACTAATTATACTTCAACACATCATTCCACCAATCAGATATCACCCTGTTCCAGTATGGACCTCACTTACACAATATGGGACAATCTTATTATAAGTCCAAAAAATAATTAAAAAAAGTCCCAAATAATAATAATAAAATAAAAACAAAATATACGATGATGCCACATGATGTGAATCATATGATTGCGTAGTAAATGCCAAATATTGTCAATTGAAAAACAATTTCTCCACCGAATAGGTCAAAAAAGTCCATCTTAAATCCCAACCGTCACGTTTCAATCTGACGGCTCAAATTGACCTGATGACACCATAGCAACCTTCTACAAATTCTGATTGGTCAAGAAACCTCAACCGGGCAATTCCGGTAAAACCAACCCACATCCTCCAAAAGTTACCAACACTTCAACAACCGGCTTAGGCAGTCACCCGTATCCACCTCATCACGTTTACAAAGTAACAATGTACTAACAGTGAGTTACATGGACAACCAAAGACGAAGGCGTTATTGTTATTGCTAATTAATGCCAGCTCTTTCTCTCTCTAGGGTTCCCCTCTATAAATATACACATGTTTTCTCTCTCTAGAACTTCGACCCAGCGTTTGGATCAATCGAAACTCTTTGCTCTCGATATAAGTGTTCGTAGATCCATCGATCGATCTATGTCTGGTTTTTATTGATCCAATAGTTTTTTTTTTTGAGGGTTGATTTATCAGATCCGAGTTAGGTTAATCGTTTGTGATAATGTTTCTGATCGATTGGTTCTACGGAGTTCTCGCGTCGCTCGGGCTATGGCAGAAGGAGGCGAAGATCCTGTTCTTGGGCCTCGACAATGCCGGCAAAACGACGCTCCTTCACATGTTGAAGGACGAGGTTCGTTTCTGTTCATACCATATACATATATATAATTTATACATTGTGTATATATTTCGATCTGTTTTGGTTTCAATGATTGTATTGCTTTTCGATTTAGGTTGTGTTTCTATTTGAGGAATTAATTGTCTGAGGATTAAGAAAATTATGTGGTTGAAATATCATTTTAGGAATTAGACTGGAAAAGGCATGATTAATTGATTGTGTATGTCATGGAAATGTATTGAAATTTTAATATTCAGTTATTTATTTTCACAAAGTATTTAGTGGTGAATCGTTTTACTAAGTTATTTATTTTCACAAAGTATTTAGTGGGGAATCGTTTTACGAGGGAATTAAAAGATGATGTTGACAGAACTAAATATTTGAAATAGACTCAGTTTAACTGCGAAATTGAAGATCCAATTGTTAAATTTTCTTCCTTCCCCAAATTTTTTTCGGTTAATATTTGGGTTTTAAATTAATGTGTTGCTTTTGGTGTTGGATCTTGGCAGAGATTGGTTCAACACCAGCCAACCCAATACCCAACATCTGAGGAGCTTAGCATTGGAAAAATCAAGTTCAAGGCATTTGATTTGGGAGGGCATCAGATTGCACGACGGGTCTGGAAAGATTACTATGCCAAGGTAGATTTTGTGTTTAACGTGTTGGGTTTAATGTTTAACTTTTATATTTTTATTGCAGTATATAATTTGTTAGTAGACTGGCAAACCTGTTCGTAGTTGAATGATAATGTGCTAATTACTTTGCATCTGTTTTAGCTTCAATTATTGTATTGATTTTCTATTTAGGCTGTGTTTCTATTTGAGGAATTAATTATATGAGGATTAAGAAAATTATGTGGTGGAAGTTATTTTTACTGCTTCTTTTAAATTTGATTTCCGTAACATTGTCAGCAATCACTTTATGCTCAAATAAATTGTTTGAAACAAATAAGAGCAAAAATAAATTTCTCTATTGTGTTTTATTTTGTGGTCTATTTCTATTTGAGGAATTAATTATATGAGGATTAAGAAAATTATGTGGTGGAAGTTATTTTTACAGCTTCTTTTAAATGTGATTTCCGTAACATTGTCAGCAATCACTTTATGCTCAAATAAATTGTTTGAAACAAATAAGAGCAAAAATAAATTTCTCTATTTTGTTTTATTTTGTGGTCTATTATATTCATTATTTATTGCTTTCTCCCCTCCTTTTTGTTTTATCCTTGGGGTGGGGATTAGCTGGCAGCTTTTAGACATGTCAAGCTTTCCTTTGTTTCCTGTGTTTTACTGACGAGAAGGCTTGTATAGTTGGCATGTTAATGACATGTCTTTAACTAAAATTTAGGAAACCTTGTGTACGATGTTGTATTATTTCAATCATAGCCCAGCGCCCCCCCACCCCCCCCACCTCTTTCTTGGAAGTTCTATCTTGTTTGTTTTGGTAGGGTGGTCTTTGTTTCCTCTAAAGCTCATTCGTTACAAATGAGCTTGGGCATCATTTTCTTCTTAAAATTTCAGGTTGGGAATCCCAATTCAAATTAAATTGGGTTGGGCTTGGGTATAGGTATTGGTTGAACAGTAAACGAACTCAAATGTAGTAGCCAACCCAGGCCTAAATGCAATCAGGTTTTTTAAGGTTGTTTTGTGGTTGGTTGTTAGACTTCTTCTGATTTGTGCACCGCTAATTTCCTTTGATTGTGAGAACAACCTGTTTATCCAAACGCATGTTTTATTGAAGGAAAGGATGCGAGACAAATTAAAATGTCCTGATTTGATTTCTGAACAAATCAGTACAATTGCTTTCACACCCTTAAATTTCAGCATGCTTGTCGTGCCTTCAAAATTCAAAAAAGACGTTTGTGTCTATTTAATTTAATTCATGGGAGTTCGAAACTAACAATGGATTTCCGTTGACAACAACTTTTGCTTCCCATGAGGTGTTCCACTAATACCTCACTATTTGCACATTGTTTCTAGCAAATCTATCTCAATTTTGCAGTATTAAAGAGGAAGTTGAGCACAGAATCTCATGATCTTGATATGAGAGACTTCCTTCTCCTTGCAAGTGCTTTCCTGGTTTATCCAAGCTGTCTTTGTATGCAAAAAGACTGACATGCCTTGTCTTCTCAAAAACCACAGCCCCCTAGACAGCCTACGCCTAAAACGAGGGAAATGGGGGTTGTTACCGGCTGTTACACTGAAACTTCTACACCCATGATAAAATGGGTTGTTATTGGCTTGAGGGATTTACATGACAGCCTTTGCCGTATCTAATGGCCAAGTGAAATGAATTTGGCATATTGAATCTTCGTATCTGGGAATGGAGTTTAAAGTTTTCTTTCATGCAGTGCCTGTGATGTCAACCATAACCTGATCCTCATGTTTTTGAGTGTTTCTAGGGTGCCATAGATAGTGTTAGTCTCAGAGAAAGTTTCGAAACATCATCTCTGGACATTTCAAGGTTTGACACGATATTGGGCTTTGGATTTTTCAAGTGTTGTTGCTTGTGGGTCTCAGTGTTGATTGTTTTACCCTTCTCTAATGGATTCCTTGATACTCATTTATCTGTGCAATGGCCTCAGGATTCAAATTTAGTTTTGATTCTATACCAAAGTGGCTTCTCTGTTGTTCCTGTATCCATTATCACAAATTTGTAGTCCATCCCTTCATGTTTGGCTAACTGTTAGCGGTAGCTTTAGCATAGGATCCTAGGTGGGTTGGATGGTTGTGAACTGTTAGATTAGTTACCTTGGTGGGATTGTCACAAGCACTGGTTTGCTTTGCACAGTAATCCAGAGGTAACTCAATGTGCCATTTGTTCTGCAGTGAGTTTGGTGATTAGTTTTCTCCAATTCGTGTTGATCTTTTCAGATATCAATTTGTATGCTTGTCTCTGGCGACGTTATATAATTTTTGTTTTTATTGGAAGCAGTTGCAGTTGCCATTTGCCAATGGTTCTTTTGAAAGTTCATTTATTAAAGAATATCTGGTGGCATGATTTTATGTTTAATGATTTCCTCCATGTTGACTTTTTCTGAATAATCTAGAGTGGGAGTTGTTAATGTTTGTTTCTATTGTAAATATGTAATAGCTTCCTTGGCAATATGTGCTTTCACATGGTTTTGTTATGCTGGTTCTTTATGCGGTTAACATATGATTAGATGATAATATTTTTTAAAATGTTCTGGTTTTTCCAGTGTCTTGAAGTAAGCTTGGACTCACATAGTAACTAATATACTCTTGACTTGTTGGCATGCAATTCTTGCGCGTGAAGGTGGATGCGGTGGTCTACCTAGTAGATTCATACGACAAGGAGAGATTCGCGGAGTCAAAGAAAGAGCTGGATGCTCTCCTCTCCGACGAGTCCTTGGCTACAGTACCTTTCCTTATACTGGGCAATAAGATAGACATACCCTACGCCGCCTCGGAGGATGAGTTGTTGCACTGCATGGGCCTGACTGGCATCACAACAGGCAAGGGCAAGGTCAATCTGCAAGACACAGGTGTCCGACCAATTGAGGTCTTTATGTGCTCTATCGTCCGGAAGATGGGTTACGGAGACGGTTTCAAATGGATGTCACAATACATCAAGTAGTGGGCAATAGGAAATGAGGTTTAGTTGCTTGTTTTAAATGTTATTTTCTGCTGGACTTTGGGTTTGACATGTCTGTTTAAAGTCACTGTTGGATGTATCCCCTTTGTGTTTTTTTTTTTTTTGTTGGCTAAATGACCCCAAGGTGGCCGATTATATTCTATCATGTGGCACAAAGGGACTGATCATCAGTCATGATTTGATACGGAGAAAATCATAATTGAACAGGAGTCAAGCACATTGTTTCTCTGTCACTGCCTTCAACATGTCAAAGTAGCTTTTTTCTTACTGGTTCCAATAAATTGGGTACATGAATTTGCTTTAGTGAAGTATACCTATTAATAATGCATTTCCTTATGTGAGCTTTCATATTTGTTCCTTTCTATTTCTTTTTGGGTTAAGTAGGCACAACATATAAAAGGGTGATAATTATAAAAACCTGGATCAAGTATTTGCTTGATTGCCTTTTTATTATTATTATTATTCTTTCTTCTATGTTACATAAATCGCATAAAGGTTGAGGACATAAACTCTACTGCCCCTTAACTATGAACCAATTAACCTCACAAATGTGTCCTATGTGCAACATGTTTCACATGAAAGCAACCGAATTGGTATAAATATATTATTTTTTTTGTCTCAATTTCCCGTTCAAAATCTAATCAGTCATAAAATAGGTGACCTGGTTGTGTGTTCAAAAACAGGTTTTTCCATATTCAGGATTTATGTTTGGTTAAGATCAGAATGATGAAAGAAATGCATTAATGCATCAGAAGAAGTTTACAGGAAGCTTAAACGCAGCCCTTGAAAGTTCGAACTTTCAAGGCTGAATTTACATGGCTTTCTGTTTTGTATGAACTTTCAAGGGCTGCGTTTACATGGCTTTCTGTTTTGTATGGAAGTTCGAACCCCCATGTGGAAGTATTTTTATTTCTTTTAGCAATTCTCTTGATTTGTTTCATTATTGTAAATGTATTTATCAATAATTTTGTTTGTTGATGCAAGAAAAAGTTGTGTACCAATTCTGAGAATATTAATGATATATAGTAAGATATTCAATGTACGGATTAATCGAACTTTTCTTCTTTTTTAACATTTGCCAAATAGTTTTTGGTGATTTTAATATTTAGTTTGAACTTTCATGTTGGGAAAAGTTGTATTTAGTCCGAGCGAACTGGTACTTTCCTCGATCCTTGGAAGCATCGCCAAAGACTCGAAACTAGTTGAATTGACCCTTTTGAAGATGGACACCTGACAATAACCAAAACTACTACATAAGCATTACTCAATAATTATGATATGCAACTTTAAGGATGCAATAATCCAAAACATTTAAACGTGACCACGGTCCTTAACTCGGATTCAAGGGAGAGATCTTAAAAGATAAGAAAAAGATATTTTATTGATTGAAGTAGTTAGATGGTGTGATATGGTGGAAATAAAATGGCATACATTGTGGAAAATAAATTCATGTTGAGTTGTACTCATGTTTGTTCCATTTTTTTTTGGCCTAAATACAGGTTAATAATCGGCATCAGGATCGGCATCAGGTTGGGTCTTGGGTTTGGATTTGGAATAATTGTTTTGCTAATGGATATGGCAGGAGAATCCAAACTTTCCGGAGTTAATCATCACTTATTTTTATTAATTTCTGTTAGAGCATAACTAAATATATATTTCACCCTCTTGGATTTCATCCTACCATCTCTGATACTCACACACACCCACGGCTCACACACACTTGAACTCCGCTCCCTCCCTCTCACTATTGCAACTTATTTGTGCAAATAAATTCGTACACTATATATAGACATCCTAGCTCTCTAGAACCTAACATAAATATTCTATATATTTACGACTCCCACATATTTACCATGGTTACAAATTCTTACAAGCTCTCTATTGTTATAAAATCTTCCACCATTTTCTAACACTTCTTTATTTTCTGCACAAATATGAAAAACTCTTTTAACTTTCTCAATTCTCTACACAAATTTGAAATACTTTAGAACTCAATGCTCCTCATGCCATGCAAATTAGTCCTCGGCCTTGAACCCTAAATGGCTTAAGTTGGAGCATCGAATCAAATCTAACCTAGGCAACATCAATTATATAGGTCACTCTCGAATCTCGATCATGTACTAAGATAATGAATTTTAATAATTATTTTGAAGCATCAATGGACGTTTTTTTTCAATATTATGTACAACTGCCGCTGCATGAAAGAGGAAATTGAATACTCTGCTCAACAAAAAGATGTTGCAGACACTAAACAACTAGAAAGGACAATTCTTCTTCTGTGTGTACTCTTTGGATCGAAGTGTGTCCATATTGGAAACTAATAAAATGCAGAAAGAGTTGTCTTTGATGAAGTAGATTAGTATTTGTTGATTTACATGCAACACTCATTTTTCTCGTCTTACAGATTATGTTCATTGCATTTAAGACTCTGCACCATGAACAAGAACTTAATTAATTAAACTAATGCTGTGTTAATTTCCGGCCATGAACTAAATTCCTACAAGAAACTATGCCATTAATGTAATTACTGTCAAGAATCATATTGCTGTGTCCAAGCACTAATTTGGCAACTCGAAAATTCTTCTTTTTTTACTCCCTAAACTAAATTCGGTTTTTCCTATATAAATCATCAAAATTGTTCCAGTAGACAACCCCTTTATCATCAAAATCCCAATATAAATCATCAAAATTGTTTCAGTTCTCCGACACAATTTGAGGCCTAATGTTATTTAGGATTGTGGAACAAGCATTGAATATATTTGAAAATTGTGGGACTACCAAGATTCAGTTTTTGTAAAACAAGCATTGTTCCAACTTCCAATGTAGACAAGAGAAATAGAGAGTATATATCAATTTTGAAACACAAAAGGACTAAACATTTACCCACAGGAAGAAAAAGAAGGGGAATTTTTTTTTTTTTTTTTCCATGCAACCTCGGAAACTACTTTTCGAAAACTACTTTTACTTCAACACCACGCCCAACATTACAAACTTTTACTTCACCACCACCCCCTACATTACTAACTTTTACTTCACCACCACCCCCAACATTATTAACTTGGACTGTAACACTAATTGTATCATTCTTGATGGCCTCTTGCTTAACATCTTCTACTTTCTTTGGTGTCAACTTGCAAAAACAGTGAATTTTTAAGCAACCGCGGCACCTCCTCTCCATCCTTTTTTTTTTTTAAACTAGCAGAACTTAAACAGTACGAGTTACTTGTAAATATGAATTAGACAAGTTAGGAGTATGTAAATATATATTTATATAGAATCATATGAGGCTGCTCATTTTCAACTTCTTTAGCAGTTAATTAAGGATGTTATTCATGCACCCAATGCGTCACAAACATGCTTTAAAGTGTGTACCACATTCAACAGGGTGCAATGTACCTACTAAGTTCAGGGGATTTGGTCCCCAGAACCCTAAAAGGCTAGAATTGGAGCATTGAATGAAAATGTAGCCAAGTCAACATGCATTAAATCAGTCACGTAGCCTAGATCAGATAGTAGTGTATTATACGATTAACGGAAGGAAGTTTAATAATTATTTTGAAGGATCAAAGGACTCTTTTTCAATATTATGTACAATTGCCACTGCATGAATGCCCACTTAAAGGTCATGTTTGTATAGGCCTTCCAATCGCATTGACCAGTAAACCTGACTGCATACATAATAATATTTGTGTATATCATCATCATAGGCAATGCAATACTCTCTGCCCAGCAAAAACTGCAGGAATCGGTTTTTTTATTTTTATGAAGTAGATCACTATTTTCTGAATTCTGATTTACATGCATGATGCAACACTCATTTTCTCATCTTACATATCCTTCAATATTTGCAAAAAAACTTCCAGCACTGGAAGAACAAATAACAAGATTTCCTTAACTTTTAGAAATGTAAGTTACATAACTGACATCTCCCAAAGAACCTGATCCATGAATTCATTTCTGCCGTTCTATCTTTATTGTGTTTGAGACTGTTGCTCGAAGATATTGGAGCTCCTATGTTGTTGTTGTTGTTGTATCTCATTCCCTAATCCTTCAAAGTGGACACTTCATCCATAATACTGCTGCAGAGAACCATGATACTGGAACCAGAACGTGCACCATAAACAAGAATTAAATTAATTATGGTAATTCCCGACCACGCTCTGTCTGGGTACTTTATTAATGCTATTTTCTCTCATCAACACTCTTATCTTCCTGACTTCATCCCATTTACCTCTTTCTGCATAAATATTCGACAACAACACGTAATTACCAGAATTCCGTGGTTCCAAATTTATAAGCTCCTTAACTGCATATTCCACTAGCTCCATGTCACCATGAGTACGGAAAGCACTAAGCAATGAACCCCATAAAAGCAGCATTTGGCTTCACGGGCATAATTGCAAATCAAGTCATGAGCCTCCTTCACACATCCACTATGACCAAGAAGATCAACCGTGCATCCGTAATGCTCAAGTTTCGGCTTGATTGGGTGATTTGAAATCATTGAAGCAAACAAATCTTTACCTCATTGCACCAATCCTCCATGGGCACAACATGTTAGAACACCAACAAAAGTCGAATCATTAGGGTTCATGCCTTTGCATATCATCTTCTCAAACAAGTCAACCCCATTCTCACCCTTTCCATTGAAAGAAAAGCCCAAGACCATGGCATTCCAAGAAACCGCATTTCTACTATGCATGTCCTTAAAAATTCTAAAAGCAGTTCCCAAAATCCCACATTTGCAATAGAAATCCACCAGTGAATTTCCCACAGAAATGACATCCAGGAAAAGTCCGCTTGACTCAGTGTAAGAGTGGATCCATTGCCCAACATCAACAGCCCCCAAACAAGCGCAAACAGTCAGCACCGTGACCACAGTTGCATCATCCGGTTCAAAACCAATATCCCTCATTCCATGGAAAAGTTCTAAAGCTTCAGCATCGCAGCCATTCGTTCTAAGCCAGAGATCATGGAATTCCAAGAGATAATGTTCCGCTCTCTCATTTGGCTGAACAGACGAAATCCCATTCCAACATCACCCGTTCTGCAAAACCACCGAATCATCAAATTCAAAACAATCCCATCCTTCTAAGGCATTGCATCGAACACCTTGTTCGCATATCCATTCTCTCATAACTAGAACACAACTAATCAATCCCTCAATTCGATTCCAACCAAAACACCCAAACCCAAGAGTAAGAATTTCAGAATGAACCCCTAGACCC